TTTATGGGCCATTTAATTGTTAACTGGTATGATAATTATCTGAAATATATTTTCTTCCTATTCCATTATTTTACAGAGCATCTTGTGATCTTTACTTCTCAAATTGCTTAATTTCCCTTCATTTTTATTGTGCTCACCAACTGTTTGTTAATATTCCTGAGAGAGTATTCCATTATTTGGCCCCTTTTATTCAACACTTAGGAGGTAGCTGCGTCCATCCTCTCTACCTTGAAATCTCAGTCAAGGCAGGTCGATGAGATTTTGAAAGGTGACCAGGTGAGTGGTAATAATCATACCAAATTCTAGTAAAAGTATTACTTTGTATTAGCTTATGTGGTCAAGACTGCATTTGTTTTTATAGTATCATTCTGAATTTTTGGTGGCGGGTTTCGTTTTTTTTTTTTGGTTACATTTGGTCCTTGAAATCGCTTCAGCAACCGGCCATCCTTGACCGGAACCTCGCGAGCTAGCAGCTCCGATGTATCTAGCACTGAGCGCAAATGCTTCACCAAAACTACCCCAAAACCTCTTCTTTGTCTCTCAAATCTGCAGCTTCTCTCATCACCTTCATCCTGACCCTTATCTGGAGAAGCGTCATAAGGTGAAATGCGCGCTAAAGAAAACTGATGTCACGTGATGGATACGTATGGCTGAAACGAAACGATCGAAAAGCGGGGAATATGGGAAACCAAAGGAAGCAATTATCAACAATTATTTATAAGAAATCGCAGGAATTCGCGCGACTTGTGAATCTAATTTGAAGATGATGGAGGGTTGGGCACCGGATATTGCGGCCAACCGGAAACCGGAAGCCCTTTCTGCAAGATCAAAACATTATCTGGGTGATTTGAGGAAGTTCATGCTAGCGAACATGGAAGTCCGAGCGAAGATGGTAGTGCAGCTCGCAGTGATGGAGGCAGAGAGGGAGGGAGATCGGAAGGAAAAGTTAAAGTTAAAGGAGCGCTAAATAACAGAGCTCTAGAATCTGTAGCGGCGGATCAAGCGGATTTGGAATCTAAGCAAGCTTTCAACCTATGGGATGATGAGTCTTAATCTAGCAGTAATTATGCCAAATTCTAGTTAAAGTATATTGCTTTTTAAATTAATTAGTTTACTTGGTTTAGTCTGCAATGATTTAGTTTAGTACATGGACTGACATAATCTCCAATTAACTCACAATCTAAATGGGCCTTAAGACTGAGTTTGCCTGGGAATTATATTCCACGTTTTTCCTTGAGGGATGTTGGAATTTGACACTCAAATGGTCGTAGTATCTACCCTTTGTTTTGGTACTTATTGTCATGCTCAATTTGTTAAGGGTTCAATTGTTTAGGTGAAAATAATGGTCAAACCATCGCAAATCATAAGGATTCATATTTTGTTTACTTTGGGGCTTTGACAAAGACTTTTGGAAACTAGCATGTTGTATATGCTTTATTGTCCATTTGAGAGCTTATTAGAGAATACTATTGTTACCTTTCGTTACAAATTATGTTCTCTTTGATACAACAGTTAAAATTCAATAGATAGTGAATAGTGAATAATAAATAATGGATAGTGAGTAACAAATAGTAAATTATAAGTAACGGATAGTGAATAGCGAATAACAAATAAGTGAATAGTAAAAAGTTGGTAACAAATAATAAATAATGGATTCGATTGATATAATTGTTTAGTTATACAACAGTTAACGGTTATTATTTAATATTAAATAACTAATAAAGATATATTTAAAAATAATTAAGTATATTTTTTAAAATATTTTTTATTATTAAAATTATTAATTTTATAAAAATAATAATAATAAAATAAAATTACTTATAATAATGTAATTACACCCTCATTTTTATTTTTAATAAAGAAAAAATTATATTATTTTTAAATAAAAAATTAATCATTTTGTCTAATTAGTAGTTTTGTTTTTTAAGATAATATATTTTTTAATGATAAATTAATATAAAAAATAAAAATATTATAATCACTTAATGTTATTAAAAATAAAAAACAAAATAAAAACTTACTAAATAAATATTAATTAAAAACTGTGATAAAAAATTAAAATGAATAAATTTATTAATAAAATTAAAAAATTATAATTCGTTAGTTGTTTGGACTCTAATTGTTATTTGTTAGTTCCAAACCACTAATAAAAATTTTTACCAAATATTTTGTTTGTAATGGTTTTTAATTGGGAAAAGACCTGGCTGAATGAATAGTGGCTTTATATGCAGCTTTCTTCAATTCTTGTACCTTGTCAAAGACAATTATACTTTAAAATTTGAGTTTTTTTAAGGTGAATTTTAAAATCTGGAATTAATCAATGAAAATATTTGAGAACAAGTAAGCACCCTATTTTACTGTTTGGAAGCAACAATGAGATAGAAACATAAGAAAAATCACCCTTCATTGTAAAGAAAGAGACTGCTTGTATCCTTTTAATTGTATGACATGGGAGATAAACGGTGAAAAATGATAATCAACAAGACAAAAAATGGTCAAGATCATGTCCTGAACAAGGCAGAGTTGTAATCACTATACAACAAGGGTTTAGCCAAGTTGTTTTTCTACTTGAACTTTAAAACTTAATTGTGAGACTAAAATCAAGGATTTAAATCTCTAATGAAATATTTTTCTTCCTTCCTGATAACTTCAATTGCCAAAACTAGATCAATTTCTTGAGCTCTTCCAAACAGTTTTTTTTCCTCCTCCTTAAATCCCATTTCATGCTACAGATTTGAAGCAGAGACTTCCAGATTTTCTGTCTTTTGCTCCTTTTGATTTTCTTCCATTTTCCTTTGTTAGGGTCTGTACATACTATTTAAATAAAAATAAAAACATCCTATTTCTCCAAAGAAAAATAGCCATAAATCCGTACAGAATTGGGGGGGCAATATTTGATTCCTGCAATATCTGCATAATGTGAAAGGAACTTACAATGAGTCACTATCAACTCCATAAAAGATGAAAAACATTGGGTGCATAGCCCTCACAAAGAACCAGGCAATCGGTTTCCTCTTGGCATTGCTTATCAAAGTCAAAGAAATCGGTTTCTACAAAGCATCATCACCAACAAATCCTTATCCACTTGATTATAATTATATGATTTATGCATCAAAATTTTTTTCTTTAGTCATTCTCAGCACTTCAAGATGATGAAAGATCCTTACATTAGATTATTCAATGATATTCGTTTTTTGTTCCTAATAGCTTAACGGGTCTTTCATAAGCATTTAGCAGAGATAATGACATCTTGTACTGACCCTAATTGTAAAAGGTTGATTTCTACGCACCAAGTAGTTGAAAAAATAACAGATATGGTTTATGCAACCATGAAGAAGATCATAATTTTTAAGTAGGAAAAAAAAAAACATCATAATAATAATGAAGATGATCTTTGGACCGAGTAGAGACAAGTATAGCCTGCATTAG